GCGTCACCTGGCGTATTATCGTGGTGCAATAGGTTGTTCGATAACTTTGGGCATTTTTTCGTGTCGTTTCACGCAAACAGCGCATAACTTCAAGGTAATATTTTGCATTGATGCTACGACCGTCTGGCAAGAACTCACAAATGTACGCACTACGTCACTGTAATCGAAAAAAACACAGAGCAAAAACTTTCACAAATGACCGAACTTAGCCTGCTTTTTTCGGTCTTGGCCCTTGTGACCGTTTATGTTGAGATAATGGGACTTTGGTTGCCACACCATAACCGTATGTCCGTCTGTCGTCACCACTTATGATCCACCAAATTTGCATCGGCGTTGACGTCATTCTACGGCTCCTAAGTGATGTCAATGCGACGATTCTTTTCGAACACATTTCGCTGCTACACGTTTTATGCCCAAAACCTCACAAAACAAATGTGTGACATGAGCCAATATGCCGACATCCTCTGCAATTTTTCTAATAGATATTTGACGATTTTCCTTAAGTGCTTCAAAGTGCTCCTCGTTGTTGTTAACGTGCTAGGGCGTCCGGAGCGGCCATTATTTGTCTTCTGTGCACCAATTGTAGACATTTTTTTGGCTCAAAGTAGACTCGCCAAATGCCACAGTGAACATTTTAGGGTAGTTGCCGCCTCTAATTTTATTTTTTACCCAAAATTTAATACCAATTCTTTGATCCATTTTTTTCGTTAGCAAAAGATCACCACTCAAACCACGTCTGACCTTTATATCTGACAAAAATAAACTAAAAATGGAAAATGGCTGATAATGTCAACATAGGTTGTCGACATGTGTAAAAACGTGACGAAAAGTAAAATTTGAGAACTCACTACTACTTCTACTACTACTGTACTGCTACTATATGTAGCAAGCAGAATTTCAAAAGTCGCTACTTTTTTGAACACACCTCGTATGTAATCGCTATGACAAAAACTAAACTAAGTAGGAAACAATCGATCATAGATAGTTGAAGGTCTCGTCGTATAAGTCATAGAAAAGTTTTGGAAGATTAATTCGACTGCAGCCGCATCTTAGAAGAACGAAAATTAAAAAGAATCAAAATGACGTACTCGACAGTTTTTGTGTTAAAGCCGAAAGAATTAAGCTTGTGATCTGATCTCTAATCTGGACTTTCGTCTGGATTCTCATTAATTTATAATAGATAAGTACAATGAGTTGATAAAAATGTTTGCCACAACTAAGGCGTCGTTGCCAGCGTCGTTCGCAGAATTGAAAAATTTTGAAATAGTTTTCAAACCACAACAACAGATATCTGTCGATGTTTTGTTGTTGTCATTGAGTTGTTTTGATGCACCGTAAAAATGAGTTGATTACAATTAGCAAACAAAAATTGTTTTCCAAATACTTTTTAGTAAGTGATGGCCATTTAAGCAATGATGCATTTTTTCTGTTTTCTGCTTGTTCGTTCGCCTTTATTTACTTGATTTTAATGTTATGTTATACTATTGTCTAAAGAATTTTTTGGTTAATGTATTTTAAAATGATTTCATGTTTTCTGTTCATCTGTCCTTATTTTCTTCTTTTTTTTTATTTTTGCGAAAATTCCGAAATTGAAAGCTGACAGCTGAAATATTTTCGCCAGTTGATTTCCTATCGCAGAATTTTTCTGTTCCGATTATTAGTCATGAGACGTTTCTTTGATAAGCCGAAATTCGTATACAAATTACAAAAAATTTAACATAAAAATTTTTTTTTCGTTCTGTCACTCCATAAAATATTCGAAACTTATCCGAAATAATGAATATGTGGATACGAAATTTTTAAGCGTCTAAAAGCGAGATTTTTGAATATGGACTTAGAGTCTAATTAGGGATATTTTAATTGGGCTGGACAACTTGTCAAATACAATAAACAGAAGAAACATTTCAAGCCCAACTTGGTCGTGCTCTAATTCTATGGTATAGGTATTGCATATTGGAGAGTAAAACAAATATTTTTTCAAAATTTAAACACAATTTATTTTTTAAACCCTTTTTTCGAAAAAAAATTTCTGAAATTTTAACTACCGTTTCGAAGTAAGATTCAGCAGTGATCAACGAATGACTTTTTTGGACAAGTTAAAGTTTATCGAAACTATGACCAAATCGCATGTGATATCTCAAAGTAAATAAAAGAAACAAGCGGTGTACACCAGATCGCTTAACACGGTTATTTTTATAACGACTTCCCAAAGCAAAGCGTTATATGGGAAGTGGTCGCAGAAGTGATGCGATCCAAATCATTTTCAATAGCATTCGTGCTTCGCGATCTTCAGGTTGAATACAACAGACAAAAATGGCCAGACGGACAGACTAGCTTATATCGATTTGGAAAGTAGTTCTAAGTCCATCTAAAGTCCTTTCGTTCATTGTATACATACACACGAACTTAATGCACTCGTCTACAGCAAGTTGTGTAGGGCTTAAAAACGATTGAAATCGACTCCATTTGTTTTAAATGAATTTTTCGAAATGTATCTCACGAGTTTCATTACATTTTCAATAAGACTTTTGGATAATTCTTACTGTGTTATTCCATTTGCAAGATATACTCCGCAGCAAGAGGAAAATGGAGGTCAAGCAAAAACAACAAAAAGTATTTTTCGAGAGTGACAACGCTTCCATTGTGCCTTTACAAAATAGCAAAAACAAATTATTGTGGACTTTAAGACGGTTGAAGGACATACAGACTTTGAGTGTTTGCAACAACTTTAGATAAAAAGTGAATATGTGACAGATACTGCAACAAAGAAATTATGAAAATTGTTTGGAGATTTTGAAAAAGACATTCTATTGTCTTGATTGGTTTTGTGTTACTTTGCTTTACCACTAGGTTGGCCAAAGGGTCATTTTGATGTTTATCGATTTTTGAGTTTCAAAAAAAGACACATTAATCATGTGAAAATGAACTTAGTGGAAACATTTTTGAACCGAGCACGAAGGAGGTCTTGATGTTCGTGGTCTTTTGGGATCGAAAGTTATAGAAGAAAATATGAAAAAATTCTCGACTCTCTTCGTTTTTTCGAGATTGCGTCAGTTTTTTTTATAGTGTGAAAGTGTTTTGTGTTTGTATGTTTGCGCCGAATTTCAGTTTCCTATGCTTACTAGTGATTTCAAAATGATCAGGTCGAATTGATCTATTTCTGTACATATAGTAATGGTAAACCAAAAAAGTAAATCTTTGGTAGAGTTTTTTAAATTCCATACTAAATTTTTCTGGTCAATCTCAGGGGGAGGGATTTGTTATTTATTTGTACATGTATACGAAGTGTGTTGGACATGGCTTTGAAAAGTGCTCCTCGGTGAAATTTGGGTGTAGGTGATGATATTTGGGTGCGTGTGTGAGAGAGAGAGAGACAGACAAAGAGAAAGAGAGGATATAAAGAGCAATTTATCGTTTTTCTTGCAAGGATTCTGTCATTTTCTTTTTCTTCTTCTTGCAAGATCGATAAATAAAACGCTAGAATCGCTAAAGTATCTGAAATGACCCGCTACATTGATCAGTTTTTGCTGCTCTTACGGTTTTCCTTTTTAAATTCGCATTTTCTTGAATGACTTTGAAAGACCATTCGTCGCGCTTTCGTCGCGGAATTTCCGTGATGCCAGGAAAATATGGAAATGTAGAGCAATGTTTTTATAGTAAACTTTCACAACAAATTCGTACAAAGATTAAATATTGGTTTATATTGACAATTCTCCAAAGCTGTTTGCCACTAGATGGTGTTGATGCCTATATATCGCGCAACATTCACCTAATTGTCTCAACATGTCCTTCAAAAGTGAAATTCCAGCTTATATTTTTTGTGAAAATAGTTTTCTATTTCTTTGCTCGCGTAAAAACTTATATCGATTTGAAAATGAGGGGAATATCTGAAGAAATACGCTATATGAAGCTTTTCTACTATAAAATGGCGAAATAAGCAAAAAAATGCCGAAAACTGTGTAAAGTGTACAGTGAGAATACTGTGACTCAGGAGTGATTTGCACGATTCCTTTCCGGAAATTTCGATGTCAAAGATACATCATCGGTGTCACTGAAAAAGTCGATGAAATTTTACAATCGGTAGAGTAAGACCGACAGGCAAGCTGTGAGGAAATAGCGGAGACACTAAACATCAACCATGTGACAGCTTGGCATCATTTAAAAAGAGCAAGCCACGAAAAGAAGTTCATCTTCAGGTAAAGAAGCTTGAAGAGTTTTAAATATGGCCTAATATATATATATATTATGTGGCACATAAAGTCTTCTGTATGTCTTGAAAAAACACAGTGACGTGTTATTTAAAGACGAACTGAACTTGAATTGAATTAAAATTTAATTTGAGTTGAGTTTAAGGAAACCTTATTAATACCTATTAATAATTGCGTGCAGAAATTGGAGTAAAAGAAAGACAGCATGTCGGCTTTCAAATCTACTGCCTTTGTCGGTTCCTTTACTTAAAGCAATTTTGCTAATGCAATAAACGATGATCTCTGTTCTCTTCTTAGATGTCAAGGATGGACAATTAAGTTAGATGAGCTTAGAATTCGACAAACCTTTAGGCGAGTTAGAATTTTTCCTTCCTCTCTCTTGTCTGAATAACATCTAACGAACAAAGACTCACGTTTTCCGCGATATTCTACAGAAAGTCACAAAGCGTTTATCATTCAAAGTTAATATGTTGCGCTTTAAGAGCTGGTAGCGCTTCGTTCTAACAGCGCAATAACAAAAACCGTTCGATCATTGCCTTAGACGGTTTACATAGTGTAATTTGGAAAACTTCTGTTCATGAAATTTGTCGCGTACTTATCTTCAAATCTGTAACATAATCTATAATATCCCGCAGAGATTTCTAATAGCAAAGATTGTTTCTTTCTTGTTTATTACATTTAAGGGATGAGGTTGCATGAGATATGCGTTTCCATATATTTTCCCTCTTGCGCTCTTTGATTTGCTTACTTCATAACCATACGTTTTGCTTTTTCTTCTTTTTTTCCTAACAGGGAACTTTATGCAATAATAGAAAATCATAAATTTACAAAAGCCTCCTATGGCAAATTACAAGCAATGTGGCTGGAAGCTCATTATATTGAGGCGGAAAAACTTCGTGGACGTTCTCTAGGTAAGTATGAAGTATTTTTATTGACCAGGCTGTGATAAAATTCTAGATTTCATTGACTCTTAAGGCAGGTTTAATAATAATTCTTTTTTTTTTTTTTTTTTTTTTTTTTTTTTTTTTTTGGTAAATGATGCTTATGGTAAAAGAGAAAGTCCTGCATTACTAGGCGCTTGAGGTATATGCGAACACATTTGTGAGCTTTATGGAAATAAAGGCATTAATTTTTATTCACTTTCAAGCTGTGAAGGTAGAGAACAATGTTTCTTAGTTGAAATATTGAGACAAATTGCAACGGACCGACTAACACATAACGGAAAGGCAAAATACTTCCCCCGGCCTATGTCTTGACAGTTTACACCCTTCTTCGCTCCAGCACGGAAAACATGTAGTTTAAGTATTCTGGCAGTAGATTTTGAATTTGATTATAGAATGCATAGTTCATATGTGGCGACGGCACATACCAAAGTTTAGATCGGCAAAGCCAATCTAAGTCTTCTAGACAAAAGCGTTGAAAGTATCTGTACGCTGATAAGTCAAGACACTACCATACCAAGATATAGGCCACTTTGAAAAAAAAAACACTTTCTTATAATTCAATTTAGAGGTGCAATAATTTGATCCTCCCTAGATCCATTGAATAAAGTTCTAGCAAGCGAGCTTTAGTCTAAAGCTTAAACTTTGACTTTATAGTTAAAAGTGAAAAGTTCCCAATACTTTTAAGCGCAAAGTGCCAGCAAGCAATTGCAAGCCTAAGTAATTACGAAGGTAGCTGCTACATAGTCTAGTGTACCGCGCTAATATTCGAACTCGCGAATACCCAAACTTTATAGTGTGAGTTTGTAATTGTTACACTTTTACTCTTAAGTCTTGAATTTTTTCCTTAATATAATTTTCGTATGCAGTTTGAAACGATTCGTCATCCCGCCGATGATTACCGTAAACAGACACCCATACCATTATTAAATTAGACAATTACATTTAAAGTTTTGACAGGCTGTACAAAAATATAATTTAAAATAATGCAGCGATCAAGGAGAGCCTGGTCTATTTACCATGAATATAAATGTGAAACCATAGATGATATGCGTTTATTGAAAAGATAAAAAATATTTTATTTCAAGTATTGTCCGTCCTTAATAATCACTTTTCTGCCAATTTGTGGATGTAACGTCTCAAAGTTATGGCTCTGTGAGCCCTTTTCGTAAGAAGTGAAGCGCTCCTTAGTAAGCGCCTATCTCATCGACGCAAGTAGAAAATTATCGGAAGGCCTCAATTCCGGTTTGTTAGCCGGACGAACAAGCACATCCCAGCTGAGTGTCTCCAGCGGCCAAAGTATGAATGGACAGATATCATTGCAAAAAATGCTCCCGGATGCCTTTTTTCATTGATATTCCGGTCATTTGAGAACAACGAGCCATTCAAATCCGTTAATTGCTGCGTTTGGCATAAAGTGTTCCCACCAAACAGGTCTCGTCGTCTTCTTGCCATAGCGGACTGGATGGATTGTTCGCCTTGTGTTACCGTAATGGTTTGCACCCTAATTTCATAAAATATGGTCATTTTCCATACCCAGAAACAATACGATACGAAAACGACCTACTTTTGTGTCATTTAGGCAAAGAAAAAATGGTCTCAACGAATGCTCTTTATTTGGTAGCAAGTTTGACTATGTTGCGGCCTTAAAACCTTGCCACATGTTATCCAAAAAATGACGCCAATAACACGATTTGACAACTACATTGACGGGTAGGGTCATTTATGGACAAACTCCGGCTTCATATTTACATAGCTGGTAAATCGTTCTATTTTAGCCAAAGGAAGTGTTTGTCGTCTGAGTCAAATTTCATGCGAATATCCTTTACAATTAGTGATGTAGTTTACTTTCGTCCAAAGAAGTGCCTTTTTCTTTTAAACTTCATGTCTTCGATCCGATTAAGTTGTTGTGCTCCAAGAGGTTATTTTTTTTTGTCGCCAGAAGTTAAGCACAGCTTAATCAAACGAGTCTGGTCCATTACGAAACGACGTAAGTTAAATTTTTGATGAAGAAGTCTCTAAGATTTGATAAGATGTAGCGAAAACTAAGAATTTTCCGTTCATAATTCTAGTGAATAGGTTCACTGAAACGCAAGCACATAATCTCATAACATGACATAATAATTCTTCTTCATTGAAAAGAGGTCATGAAAAGCGAAGAAAATTTAACTCTACCACTTTTCGATTACATTAGTATACCATATACGATAAGTACAACGGACGCAATAGATAGACGAGTGAACAGAATTTCGCCTTATTTGGCGATTGAATATCATCCATAAGCCAATGGGGAGAATTTTAAGAGAGTCAACTCAATGCGAATATTATTTTATATTATTTTATTCAAAGGTAGCATAATATTTGCATCCACTTCTTCTTCTTCTTCTTTCCCCACTTCTTTTTGACCATCACCGTGTGTTACAGGTAAAGGGGTTGTTTTCTGAGCGACTTGTCATATTGAAAGAAAAAAAAAACTGCATACAAATCGCAAGTTTTTCATTTAGCAAACTTTCATGAGAAATGGAGAGTGACGGCATAGACTTCTTCAGACACCTTATCTCGTAAGAAATGAAAGAAGAAAATCAAGAAAATCTAGACAAGTTTAATTAGTTAATACAAATACAAACACTATTCGGCAGCCAATAAAAAGCTCTTTTGAACATTAAGTAAATATAAGCAAATAATATGATGATTATCTACTTTTCAGGTCCCGTTGATAAATATCGTGTACGTAAAAAGTTTCCTTTACCGCCTACCATATGGGATGGTGAACAGAAGACGCATTGCTTTAAAGAACGCACACGTAGTCTGCTACGTGAATGGTACCTACAGGATCCGTATCCGAATCCAACGAAAAAACGTGAACTAGCCAAAGCGACAGGTTTAAATCCCACACAAGTCGGCAATTGGTTTAAAAATCGCCGCCAAAGAGATCGAGCAGCGGCTGCTAAAAATAGGTATGTACATATATATGTTTGTATTCTTGTGTGTTTATGTAAGCATATAAATATAAGCATAGTATACATATAATAGCAATAAGTGTATGAGACAAGTGTTACAAAAAAGAAAAAATGAAAAAAAATAAGAGAAAAAAAAAAAACTCAAACCGCAAAATAGTTTGTTTTAAAGCAACTAATGCGGTTATTGATGGTGATACACTCGTAGCGACTTAAACACACATTCATGCTATGCCCGCTGGCGGTTACCTATATAAGATGAGTGATTTAGTTATATATATATATATATATATATATATATGCTTTAATGTTAATTATAATAACAATCATATGGTTTTAAGTACTAAAGTTGTTATTGTTATTGTTATTATTACTGTTGAAACTGGATATTGTTAGCTCTTTAAAGGTAAATTGATATCATTTAAGTTGAATTTATGCTTAAAGGAGTTTCGTTTTTTTTTTTTTTTTATTTTTTATAAAATCTTAAAGCATTTGCATATAAATGAGTATAAGTAGCCTTTGGTGTTGTTGTTGTTTTTTTTTTTTTTTATTTTTTTTTTTTTTTTACTGTTGTTGCTATTATTAATAGTCATCAATGTGGTGTCTTAACATTTTATTGATCCGTGCCGCACACACTTCACGAATATTATTAAAAGGCGGCGGCGGCGGCGGCCTTTTTTTTTTTTTTTTCTCAGTTTTTTGCTCAGTTCGATATTATAAAACAAAAGAATTGATTCGGTTTTTCTTATTGAATTTCTGCGGTATGCGGTTTCATTAGCTGCTTTACCACATTAAAAGGAAATGACCGCTTCTTCAAGACTTTAAGATATCCCATGCGTATTAGACTGGATGGAAAAAAAGGGACAGACGGAGAAAGAGAGAGTGAGAGAGAGAGAGAGAGAGGAAGAGTAAGAATTTTCATGTTGAACATACTTTGTAATATCCGTTGGAAAGAAGTTGACATATTTCAGTGCATATAAATTCGCAAGAAAAAAGCAATGATTTGTTACGAAGCAATGCAGATCCACTACGTTGCGTATCTTGTGCAAAAAGTATCCGCAGAAATATCACTTTTTCGTCATTTATTCATTTTTTCAGTTTTTCAGTTTAGTCAGGAAGTACGACATTGCGATACAAATGCATTGATGTTTGACTCATGTCTTTATATGTTTCCAACAGCCTGCTTGCGTTATGATCGCTTCAGGTTCTTCAGAAGATTTTTCTTTATGACTTCATATCTAAGATTGTATTTATACTTCTTCTACGCAAGTACATTATAACCGTTCAAGATTAAAAAAAAAAAAAACAAGTAAGAATATTATATTCAGCTCTGGCCGAATCTTTTATACTCAGCATCTTTACCTTAACAAAAAGTCGAAAGAAACCAAAAAAGAAAAAAGCAAAAGAAATTTCGATACTGTATAAAATTGAGTGGGCGTGACCGATTTTTTGCATTCAAGCTCGATTTGCTATTCCCATGGACGGTATTCTTCACATAGCGAGAGTTATATCTTTGCAACGCTGAAAATTTGATTAGTCCTGCGTGTGTTGTAAGTTAACAGCGTACCCGTAACCAGGACTCGAGCTTGAATCTCTTAGTCTCTCTTGTTGCTTGGCGTCCTGTCCACTACGCCGTACGATACCTGCACGAAGTAAAACCATTTCTTTACAAGTATTTAACTTTGATGGGAAGAAGAGGAAGATTTTGAAAATTTGAAAAAACAACAAAGATCGACACGTGTTGTAATATAATTTGTTGACAAAAGCAAAATTTCTTATTTGGGCTCTCAATGACTCTGCGTTCAAATGACGCCTTCAGTTAAAAAAAAAGGACATTTTTTCATATTATGTAATTTAGAAATAATGTGCAGGTATTAGGTGCATATATGTTTGAGTATATAATATATGTTTGGAAAAGAAGGTATAAAAAGTTTAGCTTTCAACAATGTGCTCTCATTTGCGCAATTTCTGCAGACACTGGATAGTATAGTCTCCGTCGAGTAAAAACTCAAGAAGGGCGAATGTGTCAATAAGTAACTAAACATGTTAAGTGAGATTTAGGCTTGACTGCTCGTCTGAATGCCGCTGTTTTATAAGAACTGTCACGGTCTCAGCGATAGGTGATATGATCAGATACTTAAATTAATAGATCTGAACGGAAGCATGAGCTGTTTTGATTGGTAATATTTCCGATAAAAGCATTTTATGTCTTCACTACGCAACTTCAGGGACCATATAACCATAACCAACTTTTATTCGGAGGCCTTTTTCGTAATCGTTTTGAAACAATTAATTAAGGAAGTTTTGTAGAAAGTGAAACGAATGGTAGTCGGACGTAATAAGTCTTAAGATTATGCGGTGGCTTAACACCGCTGGTGTTATCAAAGGTAGGCAAATCTAAGCATTCTCAGGAAACGTGCCACGAACTTTTTACTTAACGAAATATATAATAAGAAATATAAAAAACATTCTAGACAATATATATGCTAAATATATATGCTATGACTGTCTCAGCAAATTAAAAAGTAAGCTCAGTATAAAAGGTCTGCAAATGTTGGGTATAGAATTAAGTCATTCTCAGTTTATTTAAAAGAAGGCCTGATCTTTACTTTCTCTGAGAGCGCTTGTCAAACTGTTACCTTTCCAAGCCTAAGCTCTACTTTCGAACAAATCGAATTTTTTTATCAAAGCAACGCTGAAAGCGGAAAACGTTATTTTTCCTACGTTATGCCAACGAAAATGCTGCTCAATCGTGATCGATGATGAAAAGTAAACGCAGTGCAATATCCAAAGTGAAATAATTGTGATTTAACTCAAACAATCCGTCGACATGGACATAAGGGACTTATCAACGTTCCATGATATGATTTTCTCCAGCAGAACGGATCTATCACTCACAAGAATATGTTATCAGCAACAATTGATGCGAATGGATCGGAAACTGATCGCATGGTAAAACCAGGATTTCGTTATATCTCCAGCGTCGCCTACTTTCACCTACATATTGCAAAACGAACAAAGGAAGCTACAGCAGCAACGAATTGAAATATGATACCCTTTACTCTGTATTTACCAGACATTACTATCTCCGACTAACATTAGTTTCAATCAATGCCTTTTTGTCTCTTTCGATTATTGTGACTATGTCCATACTATAGATTCTTTGCTCGACAACGTTGAGAGTTCGGTTGCCATTTTTTCGCTGTTCGTCAGCAAGGCAATGCTTCAACATATCAGAGTATATTACCGCAAAGCTTAAGTTCGAAAATGTCTCATATATTGATACGTCATACGGATATATTTTTTTCTTTTTCTTTCCGTAATTCCTTTTATGATTATCATTACAACAACCACACTTAAGCGGGAAAGATCGTAGTTGTATATGATAGAGAAGATTTTGAGGTTAAAATTTCTTATAATGCAAGCACACATATCACCTTTCGCACGTTAACAGTCTTAAGTGACCTGATAGCCAACAATATTACGGCGCAGAATGCACTTCTCGCCTCGTACCTACCTCTTGCTAATAGAATGGGAAATTGCGAACCCGTTCCGAATCGCACTGCGACTGCATACCGCTAGATTAACACTTTGGAACGAGTGACAGGCAAAACAACACAATGCTGTTCCATCGTTTCGCAACTCTACCAGATCACCATAACTGAGCGCTTTTCTATTTCACTTTTCTTGAACGCGGTAAAATTTACGATTTAATCGCTAAATATTAAATTGTCCGGGAAGTAATTACGTTTTTTTCCCCAACAGAAAATTTAATTGTTTTTTTTTTGCACAGCCAGCTTCATGAAAGGCTTGGCAAGAAGTTCGCTTTATTCTGTGGAATGTGCAAAATGAAAAGCAACTTTTCCGGCATTTTTTTTCTTTTTTATTATAAAGAAAATAAAAATTCTGCTCAAGCAAGACAAAAATTATGCGATGTACATGCAGAAGGTGCATTGACAGGATCATTAGTACCAAAATTGGTTTGCAAAATTTGGATCTGGCCATTTTGATCTTGAAGATGCGCTATCTTCTGGAAGGACAGTTGAAGCTAATGGGGACGAAGTAAAGTTTTTCACTGATGTAAACTGCCGCGTAATTGCTCGAGATCGCTACTAGATTATAATTACTGAGTTCGAACGTTCTTGATAACATAAAACGTCATTATAATAAAATCGGTTTTCATTTACATTAAAAAAGGAAAATGAAATTTCTTTCCGAACAACCTGAAAAAATTTGCTTTAATAACATTTGCTATTATTAACCATAGAGATCTTTGGGAGAGCTTCGTTGTTGATTGGACGAATGTTTTACATCTTAGTGACAATGTCAGCTCAGATCAGATTAATTACATTTCTAATTTTCTAATCGGCACATGCATTCTATAAAGTCCCAATGCCAATAAGCCGTAATAGTTAAAGAAGTGAGAAGAAAAAATACTGCAGTTGAGTGTTAATCGTAATTTATTAAATAATTTTTCTAATATGGCTTCAGTTTCTATTTTTTTTAGCCATCAGGTGTGCATGTTCAGGTGTGTGTTTAAGTGGTTCTAAATATTTTGGTGGAATTTCAATCACGCATGATGTAAGTTCAGGAGGAAAATATTTGCCGTTAACCCAGTGATAAATAATACTTCCCTACTTGACCAAAAGAGCAACAATAGGTTTTTTGTCAAATTTGTTTACAGCCTTAACTATTAGATACACATTTTTTTTTTTTTTTTTTTTTTGCTTTATTATGACTAATCACTCAAAGGACGTCCGCTTTCGATGTAATGAAGTGGTGATCAGCGAGCGCCTCCTAGCGGGTGCATGATCAATCGGTGAAAGTGTTGTGCTCCTGCCGACCGAGCACTGACCGCAACTACTACCAATGTAGGTTTGAAGCCGCCAAGCGCATTGAACTGCTAGCCGCGACTCTTTTCTACCCCGTATACCAGGAATGAGTGCAAATTATGGCAACCAGAAGTTTCCAAGTCTTTTCAGCTTCCATATGTCGTTCAG